GTGTTTAATTAAATTTGATATCTTGTTAGTAAGGACATCAGATAAACCAACTAGCATTGACAGTGCATGCAAACAGAAGAAACACCCGAAAATAATACAGGTGGGCAAATGATAGAAAACCTGGGTATTTCGAATACGGGTGAGCAGCTATCTTACTCAGGTCTATCGCTCTATCACGATCAAGCTCTGAAATCTACATTGATTCTTCTTCAACGCTTCTCTGCTCACAGTCTTGGTCTTTTGTGTCCGCGCTCGTGACAAGATGATTCTCTGGTTAATCTTTTTTCAATGTTTCACGCACATTGTATGTAATCACGGTAATCGTACAGGTATGAGATCATCCTAGTGTACCACCCAAACGTATTGCAGCACGCCACTGTCCTTCCAAGGTACACATTGCCATTTTGCAATGGTTTCTGTATATACAGATCTATTTACCATTTTTTCAAACTGAATGAAATAAAGGCAAGGCTTTCCAAGACGGTCCGGTGTCGAGTCAACTCGTTCATTTCAATTAAAGCACGTCCTGTACTTTTTCAGTGAAATATCAGAAAGAAGTTGAATTACATGCATAGTAAAATACGGTGCCTTCAGTTGTGACAGTCTTTTTTTCAGAAGATTTACATTTGTACTTGTATTTTGTTTTACACATTTCAAAATTTCATTTACATATCTATAATCTAGGGATAATAAACAAGTCAACATCAGACACAGTCATGCATGTAAGGTCTATTGTATTCAAGAGGGAAAGGGTTGCTTTTTTCTCAATCACTCTGATTATTTTCCCCCTTCCTTTCTGTAAGTCTCAACATTAATGTAAACAAATTCTTTAAGAATTTGATTTCACATAAAGAAAATAATTATAATGTAGAGGAATAGAACTTTCTTCTTTTCCCATTCATTCCATTTCTATAATTTAGTGATTTATAAATTTGTTTTGAACCATTTATTAATTGTTTGTAAAGAAATATTAACATTGCATACAAAGTCTAAAAAATTGAGACAGCATATGCTATATTCCTCATCTATGTCCTAATCTATATGTGTAAAAAATGTATTATTAAGATCTCTTAAGTTTGAACCCTCAGATAGGTAGTGACGTGCTTGTATGTATGTTATGAAATGTCAAACAGTGATGAAATGTATATTTCACAACAGAACAAGAATTTACAGGACCGGAAAATCAGGTAAGTTTCTTTATGTGCAAACTAAAATATATCTTTTTTCCTGTCTGCAACCTATGAAATTCCAGACTCCGGTATAGAAATGGTTTATTTGCTGCAACCTTTGACAACATTGCATACTTTTGCCTTGATTTAGATTTTGCATAATCTTCTAGGAAATTCTGTAATGAATTAAATAAAGAATTTGTACTTTGTAAATTCCCCTTTTTTAGCATAACCTGTTAAGTAATAATTTAAAATGATGAAGAATAATTAAGACTAATTTGATTAAGTTTGTCCCGTAAAAGGGCATGTTCTCTGATGCGGTCTGATTCTGTTCTTGGGCATTTTACGTAATTAGGGTCATTTTTGTTTTAATTTAAATTCATTTTAAAATCATGTATGCATCTTAGATGATTAATGCTTTAACACCTAAACAGACTAGTACGTACCTCTTGTAGCATTGTGTGTTAAGAAGAATAGGCACTTTAAAAGAGATATACATAAACGATGTTTCATTAAGATATCAATATGATAGCAGTAGGAGCTTGACACGACATGATACCTGCGTGCAGTACAAAAATAAACGTATTCTTCACTGTAACAGGGTATACGGTAGGACGGGTCTATTTCGGTACAGACATGTCATTTTGTCACAGTTTTGTTCTTCTTTAAAACAGAGGCGATTGTCACATTACAATCAATTAATCTTTATGTGTGTAATTATGATCAAGCTAGTAGAAAGATTAGGACAGAACATCTCGATCAGTGATCTTATTACCTGTTAAATGCCCAACAAACTTGTTCATTGTCACCAGGCGACATGTATATAATAGCATCGAGATCTGATAACTTTGGACCACACAAATTCCGGTATCTTCCGAAGTAATCGGTCCTGATTCAATTAAATGCTAAACTTAACATGATAGTACACCAGGCGGATATATCTTTTGGTCTGCCAGTTACCTATATTGTACATAGTGTGTATACCACAAAACATCTTGTCAGTTGCTGGAGATATAAGAACATAGACAAATTGACAAGCTTGTTTTGGGACTTTGTTTTGATCTCTATCACAAAAAATATTGAGTTTTGAAGTGTGGTCTTTTAAACGAAGACAGACATTTTGCATCCTCCACAGTAATCATTACTTGTATCTTACGGCTTGAGTGAGCCTTGCTACTCACATAATAGATTTGGTTATATGCTTCTTAGTTGTGACTGAAAGTCACGTGTTTATCCAGCCAAACCATGCACAAAGACTATAAATACATGTAATATAGTTACGAAATAGTCAACGTGGTATGGTAAAGAAAAAGGCAGTTTTTGCGTATGTTGGAGATGATCAAAGAGCTTTTTTTTTCATGAAATCAGACAAATATATTTTCTTGACTTTAAGATATGGTTTTGTCTTAAATTTGACTGCAATTGCAAATGAATTCATTCTTACACAACATAAAATATAAAGCTTTTTCTTATTTTATATTTATGCTATGCATTATTTTTTCCCTCAGTATGAAGATATTTATTACATCATGAAGTAAGAATTTAACCCTTACATTTCGGAGAATTATATAAGTATAATTTATGATTTCTAGTTTTCTATAGCTGCATGTGCATTTTAATAAACTATTTGTTACTGGTACATGGAAGATCACAATACAAGAAGGAACACAAATTTTTATTCCATCGCGAAAACTATTTTTGATGCTTCATTAATCATGTTCTCATCACAAGTTGTCTGAAGACGTATGAAGTTATTAATTCTCGTTTTTCTTAAAGGTTGAACTATTTTGACCTGATGTTACATTTTAAACAGGTTGTGGTAAGAGAGAGAAATGGTTGTGGACACTTTCAGTGAGAAGTCGTTGTCAAAAAAGCGGCTGAAGAGGATATGATCAAAGGACAAGGCCCATTACTGTGGACAAATAGGCACACCTGAGTCCTCCATTACTTTATATAACTACGACATTACATGCTGATGCCTGTTTATCATGAGCCGAAATAATATGTCTCCAGTCTAATTTGGACAAGGCCATGATATATAGATCATACATATATCACCCCGTATGTCACGTGATATGGTTTTGGCTCGTAAGTATCATTGGCTACAAAGTAGCGTATCGAGAAAGTGGGGGAAAATAATCAAGTATTAATTTTTATGCCTTTTGGTCATTAGTTTCCCATTAGAAATAAATAATTTTTTGTTAATTCATCAAATTTAACTTATTCATTGAACAAAATCTCTCTGTTTAGTAAGACTTAATTACACTTCATTTTGTCATTTGTACGCAAAAAAAAAATTTAAGAAAATTTGTATAATTAGTTTGGGGTATAAATTTTGTCACGACAGTGTGAGGTTGCTATAATGAAAGCTAACATATTGTAAATTAGATAATTTCTATGTTCCATTAACGCCAGAAAGATGATTTAAATGTCGCTAGCATGTCATGTTTCTTCCTTTCCCTTTTAACCAGGCTCTTTTATTTATATTCATTTTGATGTCGTTTGTAAGAAAATGTAAATGTTGTTTATGTTGTTTATTAAAAATTAGCATGTGAATATAGAACAAAATAATAAAATTATGTTTGATATTTTCCAAAATTTGAGTTACCGGAAATAACTACACTTCTACATCACTGTCTGTCGTTGAAAAGCATATCAAATGCATGAGAAAATATATTTCTTTCATAATCTGGCAAAATATTTTTAATGGACAATTCCCGTGATCGCTCTACATAAACGTAAATTTTTCTACTGATACCTCGCTTAAATAATTTTTGATAACAACCACAGGTGTCCAAATCCCTTTGAAAGATTTATCCAAATAATGATAATAAAAAGTCCTTTAGACATCCTTATATGAAATACCAGTAGATCAATTACCATACGAAAGAAAAGAGATCATAACAATGGAAAATGGATTAAGATAAATTTCCGAAAATGCAAATTAGGATTTTTTTTGTAAGTGGCCTTTTCTTGCAATATTAAAGCCATTTCCTTTTGGGGTGTTAATGATAGTATAATTTTTTTTCCATTTGACTCTTTATCAATGTTGAGAATCAGATAAAGATATTGTGTTCACTCTAGCGCGACACACTGTATCTTGTGTATGAAACTTTTAAGCAACCTCACACGCAATGTTTGCAACAGCTGGCCCACGTCACAAAAGGCAAAGTAGCTAGTTTCTCCCAATAGAATACATTTACATTAGCTTTGTATAATCAACATTTAAATATATCGTTCGTATGCATTAATTAGAAATGTTACAAATGAATCGATCATGCACAGTTTCTTCAGATTCATGTACGTTGTATCTAGTTTTTTCTGGTATGTACAGTGTATACATTTTACACTTTCAATGTGTTGCTAAAAGCAATCTCGTAATCGTGCCCTATAAAATTGTAAACTTGCAATGTACATTTCAATATTTGTCGTTTTTAAATACGTCTGACTTCCTCTCGGGCAAATTTCCATCAGTGTTCATTGCAATATCCCTTTGTCTATTACACAGATGCGAAGGTTTATATTCGCAACAGACCGCTTATACACATCAGAAAATCCCATGAAGACGTTTATAGTTTTCTTGTGATATGTACCATTTTTCCAATGAAATGTTATTTCAACCATAAATATCTTGTTTCGTATAAAAAAAAAATACACAACCGTCTGCATTGTAAAGAAAAAATGGGTGGTTTCGCAAATTGATACACTTTCTCCCTTTCTTCCAGCATAAAAAAGCTTATTTTCATGGCCACAAATACATGTCATGTGATAAGTTAAAAACACATTTCTATTATTTGCGTTTCTTTGCTAAATCAAACATAACAACTCGACTTTTAGATAAAACATACATTTACTTTAATAATAAATCAACGACATAGTAATATTGTAATTAAATAATTTAACTAATGACGAACAACATCAATGTCTCTTGCAGGGGAAAATAAAGAACTAGAAGACCTTACGAGCTTGTCTGCAGACTTGGACAGGTTTTCCGGTCCTGAAAACGGAAAATGGGATCCGCCCAATGAACTCTTTGCAGCAGCGTGGGAGGAGAGGATATAGGGATAGGACAGTGTTGGATGTGCAAGTGATAGGGCACTAGGGTAGGGACCAAATCCGCCATAGCGACCGGTTCTCATCATATGACTAGCAGAGGATGTGAGGTAATACAAGTCTGAAGCACTTTGAGGGACTACGGAGCCTCGACTTGAAGCTGATGACGTCACAATAGGTTTTTTCACTTCTTCATCCTTTTCGTCGTCGGATGAGGACGAATTTAGAAATTGGGTCACAGACCAAATTTTAGATCTATTGTCTTGAGTCTGGGTAGAATTTGTGTCAGTTTTAATAGGTTTTGGTGAACATGTGGCGGTGTTTGAACATGTAGGAGAAGCCAAATCACTGCATCTTGAATCTTCGCCAATGCTAAGATTTGGAGATGCTGCATCTGCTTCCCTTCGAAGAATATTATTCGATAAACTTTCACTCTCTGAGCTCAATGAATCGACTCTTTGTCGCGTGTCCCTGTCTTCAAAACTCAGATTTGAATCTTCGTCTTCATCCACGCTGATTATTTTTTCACGTTCCTCGCGATCTGTGGAAGAAATTTTTTTTTAAAATAATTGTTTGAAAAACATCAAAATAAATATCAGTCTTAAATTTGAATATTTATCAATATATTTCTAAAGGTTGTAGGGTCTAAAAAAATTTAGGCATTTTTAAGAAAGCAATATTTTGAAGATTTTAAGTATAATATTTTTGTAAGTTGGATTTGTCGTAACCTTCATTTTTAATTAGTATGGAGGTGTTCGTTTGTCTGTAGAATGACTAATTACTGTACGTAACCTTTGCTTGCACATTATAAACGGGGTTTACAAAGTTAATTAGTCTTTACATACATTTAACTTGTTGCTCATTAAAGCCTTTGCCACTGTATATTAATCATGGAATAAATTTGAAAACAAATTTATTCAAGATATAATTATACATGTTTTACAACACCCATTTGCATAATGCGGTTAAGATGTTTAATACAGTGAAGAATAAAAATAGAATAACCTTCTTATTTTTTTAAATTGATTGTTTTGCGCGGTTATAATAAGTATTGGATTTTTTTATTTAAAAAAATTTAAAATACTTGAAAAAAAATTCAATTAAACGGAGAAAATATTATATAATGATAAATATTATTAGAGGTTAAATTCATTAAAGAAATGCAATATTCATTATTTAATTTGTTTTCCCCTGGATATTAGAACTGTTATAATTGTTTAAACAAAGATATCAATTTCTATCCTTGGGGAATAAATTCGAATGGTTTGTACTCTGTATTCATTTGCATCGATAGCATTAATCCAAAAATCCTCGAGGCATATAATTGATTTAAATCTGCCAGTAAATAAGCGTAAAACGTCATAATTATCCCTTTAAAATCTCAACTAATGTTATTCAAAATTTCCTTGAAAAGGAGAAATATCTATTTTATAAATCTGAAGTTTTGTCTCTATTTAGGTCTTATCGGCTTTTATTGTTTTAAGAGAGAGACTTTATGAATTATGTATTTTTGACAGAGAGACCATGAAACCGTCTGTTCAAAAGAACCCTACATTATTCATATTGCAGGTGAACTTCATAAAACGACTCGAAGCTGAAATGGCCATTTTGATGAATCTTTATAATCGAGTTGAATCGTCATGGGAAAAATAAACAAAGGCTCATCATCGGTTTTTATTTCTTTCATTTTTAAAGTTTTATAAATTTTTATTTTGATTAATCAACCTCTCATTTATTCAAATTGGCATTATTAGGTCGTTAAACAAGTCATCAACTTTAATCTGAATTATTCCTTTACAGAAAAACAGATTTTCTGATTAGATTTTAAGTTTATTAGCCTCTATATTAAGATTATACCTGCGGTTTATGGTGTACGACTCTTTATATTTTATGCATTTGTTTAAAGTGAATTAAGTTGCATAACACATAAAGCACATTTTTTTTAGCTAATATTTTATATAATTTTATATGCAACATTTATACTTTTTGGAATGTAATTTTAATACTTTTCTGTTCCATTTTTATCTTCATTAACATTAGCTTAAAATGTTAACTACCAATAAACCTTGAATATTCAAAATTCGCAAATTAAAGTAAATCAAATTAATAGAGAAGCGGTTTTAAAATATTATTCAAATTAGATTAAAAATAAGTAATTCTAAGTAAAATTTTAATTTACCTTTTGTTGGTTCCTCTGTTTTATTTGTCATTTCCTTTTTGTCGGCAAGATTGTCGTTCTTTCTCATCAAATCATCGTCGTCATCATTGTCTAAATCATCATCATTGTCATCTTCAGATCTATTTCTCGGGGACCAGGTCATCTTGTTTTCTTTTTTAAGTCTTCTCCTGGCGTTTGCGAACCAGGTTGAGACTTGTGTGAGAGTCATTTTTGTTATGATGGCTAGCATAATTTTCTCGCCCTTTGTGGGGTAGGGATTTTTCCTGTGTTCATATAACCAAGCTTTCAACGTGTTGGTGGTTTCACGGGTTGCATTTTTGCGTCGTGCATTTAAGTCAATTCCCCCGTATCTGAAAATTAAATATATTTCTGTGTAAAACTTTCAATTTTACTACAATTTCTCTTATTAAATTCTGAATAAAGGTAATATTATCTTGCATAATAATTATCATGTAGTGATACACTAATAAGGTCTTTAAAACCTGCACATTTCAAATTTCTTTTTCCCCGGTGGTTTTGTTAGAAATTGATATTCCCCGATTGTCATTTTCATCAAAGTCATAACAAATAAAATGTAATCAAGCGAACGTGGGCTATTCTGTGCTTTTAGATAGAGATTATCGGTGTTAACGCCCGGTTTAACATTGTGGTTATGAAGACATCAACTGCCGTGTTAAACTAAATGGGAAGCGTCGATGAAGCATACAAACTTAGTCTTTATGAATAAAGAACAGCAATCACCCAGTCTTAATCACTTGATTTATCTTCACAATTAAACTCCCCGAAAACGATAATTGAATATGATACATAAAATATCATTATTTTATAAAGATTGATGGCGAAGAAAATATGCGAAATACTTGAGAAATGCCATCCGCTGAAAGAATAAATACTTGAAATTCTGGGTTTTTTTTAACGCCGTATCACCCGATCAAATACAAGTGAAGGCACACATTTTGACAATTGCGTCTCAGTTATCATGACCGCACATTGAGAGAAATCTTATCATCTTGGCCGAGATACAGGTGTGCAGTCCCTCCTAGTTGTCTATTGTTATATTAAAATTCAGTGAATGTGTTGATATGTGATACATACCCCGCTCCATAAGGATACACGGACATGGCCGGATCATACGGGAAGCAGGCCCCGGGCTGGGCAGCAGCAAGGCTCCTCCAGGCCTCTGTGGCTTCTTTAATATCATAGGGACCATTTGTCTACAAAAGAGAAAAAGAATTTTTTATCAATTAGACAATACACATGGAAATAAATTTTATTCATTTTAATGTTCTTTTGTACGGAAATAGTTAACTAAATCATTTCAACATTTTGTGTTGTCCTTTTTTCTTTTAACTCTTGAATTGTCTTTAAATAAGATAAATATCAGAGAACTTTTATTGTTTTATGATTTATATTAATACTTTGATTTTATTCAAATAAATAAAAATATTACCATTTATTAATTTAAAATAATTCCGTAAAAATAAATGCAATGTACTTATTTTTTATCAACGCAACTAATTTTTTTTCTCTATTTTTTGCAGAAAAAAGGGAGAAGAAAATTTCTCAAAAATATCACAGAAGATATGCCATTTTATACATTTAAAAATTTGAATTAATATTTGGAAAGTAAAACTTATCTACAATAGAAATCTACAGAGAGTGTTTTACTCTTTTTGAAATACAGAATACTATTAAAATACACTTACAAGTGGAGAATAAAATGCGGATCCTTCAGAAGCAAATGGGACTAAACCTTGGGCAGTGTAAGCCGGGCTCCCATACACGCCCTCAGGAAGCCCTGCAAGGCGAGAGTAGCCCAAAAGGGCCGGGTTGTACTGGCAGGAGCAGATAGTTTGACCAGTGTGAGGGTCAGCCATGATTGGACGGCCATTCTCACAACAGCTTCTGGTAGAGGTTGGACTTGGGGTTTTGGTCATCTGAAAGGGAAGCACATGCTTAATAGAAAATCTAAAATGCTGAAACTTCAATAGGAAAATGGCATAAGGAAAATTCTTATTTCATTGTTTATTAATATTGCAGGTAAAATGATATACCGGAAACAAAAAGAAGAAAATGAAACTAGATGAAGTTTCAGGAGTGGTGCATTTATATGGCAAAATTTCTCTTCAGGAACTTTTTTTCTGGTATATAGGTAAGTAAAATGAAACTATGGTTAAAAGTAAATGATAAAGAGTTTTCAATAGAAAAAGTATTTACCTGTGCTGAAGTTCCAGTTGGAATAGGAAAAGGAACAACTTGGGAAATAGACATATCGCATGTAACACCAGTGTCCACCGGTCGTTATCTGATTAACGCTTAACTCAGGATTTCACACAAAATAGAATTTGTATTCCAACTCTTCACTGAACTCCAACTACAAACTAACACATATTTACATCCGCACCGACTTGTCATATATGCAAGTGATAAAGTTGGACATAAGCCTTTATGGGTTTTTTTGCTGTAAAAGTTTTTGACCCATAAACACTTTGTAAACCTGCTAACTTCCGTCTCATTTGACTATACTTTTGAAGAAATTTGAACCGTGATTGGTCTTTGTTTTACAGAGCATCATCCCTTTAGCTAATTTTAATACTAAGCTCCGCCTCTTTCTCGAGTAGCAAAAGATGGGCGTAGCGGTTCTCCGCCTACGTCGTTAGTATCGATAAGCATTTTCACACTTCTCCTCATCATTGTAACATTTTAGATTCTTGTTATTTTTCTAGATTTTGCAGATAGTTTTCCTGGCTATTCATTATTATTTTTTAAATGAACTTTAGATTTAAGATAATATTTAATTTGATTTTTTTGGTAACTTTCTTAAGTGTATGTAATTTTCATTGAAAATATATTTAGATATATTTCAATATACAAATTTAAAAAAAATGAAAGAGCATTGATAACATATAATAAATATATTGGAATAATTCATCGTTTAAAATAATATTGATGAAGTAAATCAAAGGGATTCATCGTATTTCATTCACTGTGCGTCTAGAGATTTCGACGCGCCATATTTAGAAGTTTGCATGTCATTAAGCCATTCTGAACAAATGAGATGAGAGACATTGAATATGTAATTATATAATTACATGACAAAATAAAAAGTCATAAATACCACCGTAAAAGTACAACCAGCTTTGTCAGGTATGCGAATCTATTAAGAATGCTTGTCGGTTGATGATGGTTCCATGGAGCGCTGCCTCATTTAACCATTAAAATGGTTTTAAGGTATAGAGGCAGTGTGAAATCATCATTTAAAGCGCTAAAATCTATAATTAACATAAAATTACTTCAAATTGCACTAAGAAAATCTTTATTTGACATTTTAAAATAGAAACAATTATACTAAGGAGATGTGTATACTTCTTAATAACATGGATTATACGTTATTCCAGGATAAATAAAAAATATTTATTAAAAAAACTTGACAAGATTAGGAATATATCTTTATCAACATGCCGTACTTTCGGTTGAGGGCATCGAGGAAAGAAGATAAGCTACACAGCCTCAATTGAAAGGAACAGTGTTGTATATATCGATATTTTCTTGTCATGTTTTTTTTTTACAATACCAAAAACATTTGTTTAGTAATTTTATACAAATGTACATGCATGTATAAATTACATCTTGTTGAGTAAATACTTGAATAATATTTAAAATACATGATAACAATTAAATCTAATTGGTATTATGTATTTTAAATGTCATATAAGTTTATGAATAGTTTGAATACTAGTATATCATATAAAATGTTATTGTAGAGCTTTATTTCTTTTTAATTATTGTCTTAAAATGCTATTTTATTGATTGTAAAATATTGGAAAAAAATCGTTAGTGCTATCATTATGCTTTGTAATATTTTTCAGTTATTTTATAATATTTGTTATATGTTATTAACATTGCATACCGTAAAATGTTTCCTGATGTTTAATTTTCTGTTTGAACTGTAAAAATGTTTCACTTACATTTGTGATCTTTTCATGAATAAAGATGGTATTTAAATATCCGTTTACGGGCGATTAAATACAACAATTTATTTATCATAAATTTTGTCTTTAGGTGAAATATACATTTTAATACTTAATTGATTCTTATTAACCCTGAAAGAAATATACACAGGTGTGATTCAGTGATAAAGAAGATCTTCTGTATGACAATTATCTTTACAGAACCTTATTCATGAAAGGTCGAAATTTTGGCTCGTCATTGTCAGTTCAGTTGCGGTGTTCCCCTCTAATTAACTCCAACCGCTACTTCCCTGAAATAATGATGCCAGCATTTGTTTTTCAGACCGAACATAAGTAAAATTAATTGATGTTTCATCTATCAACACAAATAGTGATATTTTTCGGTCTGTCATTTTTAGTCATCAGAAACTTTACAACGAGTAACATGGTAAAGACATTGTAAAGATTCTGAAGAATTGAAATAAAAGCGATTGTATTGGGCCATCTTTTAAAAGATGTTTGCTTGCTCTCTCCTAACTTAGGGTAAAAATATTTGGGTCGATAGGTAGGTGGGAAAATCTTTTTTCCAGAAAAATTTCAAGATATTTTTCGACGGATTAAGAGGAATAAAATGAAAAAAGTATCGTGTCCTGAAACTGAAAAGTTTCGAGTCGGGCCATTATTAGTCGGTCGGCAGGGAGAGGACAAGCAAACCATTATTAAAAGCTAAGATGACATCGGTAAGTGATATAAGTATTCAAAAAAAAAAAATGAAACGGTATGGTTTGAAATAAAATTCGTATATATATTTTATTATTCATCAAAAGTTTTCAAATGATAAGACGAAACTGAAACTTAAAAAGTTTTATTAAAAATCGATTTCCTCATATGACCTTTGAATAAAGAAAAAATCAAAAAAGTAATTTTTTTTTGAAACATTTATGCATATTAAATAACCAAATTTCCTTATTATAAAATGTACCTATTAAATCAAAAGTTCAAATTTTTTGCTATTTATTTATTCATTCAAAAAAATCCCTTCTTCATCTGTTCATTCACTTTAAACTCAATGTTGTGGTAAATGGATTTAACAAAGAATGGTAGTGGGTGGAATTAGTTTGCGGAAAGAGAATATAACATTAACAAATAAAGATTATTTTATGTTAATTATTAACTAATTAATAACATATGGCAAAAACTGCAGTTATTGACTGTTGTAAAACAGGAGACAATACGTATGATGCAAGTCAAATTTGTCAATAGTAATATGACATATTCACATGTTGAATTGAAATTCTTTGTGGTGTACAAATCTCTTTATAATTTCTTAAAGGACTCCCTCATGGCATTACTAGATTAAAAACTTTTTAATAAATACATTTCTAACAAATAAATAACAAATATTTATTTTATGATGATACAAAATTCAAAATATTAATTAAAAAATTCTTAAAATCGTGATTTGTCATTTTAAAAGATATTTATCTGAAATTTAACATTTGACACCTTTTATTTCAAAGTTCAGAAATGATTTTAAAGTTCATGTTATATGCCAGTCAGTGTAATTCCTCTTTGGTGGTACAACACTTTTCTGTTCTAAGAATTAACTTCTAGAGTGAAATTGATAGCGATTCTCCCCACTTTTTAATACTAAATTCTTTAAAACCTCAGAGAGACGATCGCCATTCCCGATAAAAATATAACATCGTTTTCCTTTGGAAATATTAACATAAAAATTATTAATCGAGATGCCAGAAAATTTTACCTCTAAATATTATGAAACATTTTAATTGAATATAAACAACAACAAATTACTTGGAGAGAGTTTCGAAAAATAAGAAAATGATCCGGAAACATTTTGATGCTCTTGACTAACTGATACTAAACAGAAAACGATGACGTAATCAAAATTGTCGTCTTGTGCGGCAAAAGCTTGTAAAACGGAAGCAACACGATGCTACGTGAGCTGAAAGACAATAATACTCTGCAAAAAAGTGTCAGAATCTCTAAACAGGCGTCATAAGGCTATTTCTAAGTCAAAGTCAATTTCCGGTAAAACCTAATCAAAAGTTTATTTCCCATAAATTCTGTTAAAGTGAGAACGCATGTTTTAAAGGATGGTTAATAGATACCATATCGACAACTGAAAGGATACTTAGAGAGATTTAATAGCTTTTGATGCGTTTTTGCATATTCTGTTGATTTTTTGAGAAGTATTGATATCTGCATTATCATTTTAAATGTTAGATGTTTAAATGTACAATACACAGCAAATTGTCATCTTAAGTTTACTGCCATTTTTTTAATTTCGTTTTTCCCTGGACATTCGAATTTTTAAAAAACTATATTAAGAAGAATGCTTCTTTGCCTAACGAAAAAAATGTCAATATAATTTGCAATGCAGAAAAAATATAAATGAGCTCTTAGTCACCTGAATGGAGGGGTTCGAATCTTGGCCGATTCGCATCTGTTTACTTGTCATTAGATACATATTTTTCTTGCCTTTTAATGATGAATTAATTAATTTTTGACACATTTAATTGATCAAATATTAGGCTTGCACATGTCTACAGCCGGGTCTGTTTTTTTCTCACGCGGCCTAACTTAAGTGACAAAGTCCCGGTGTATGTACATGATTCTATTCAATCAAATCACATTTGATGCCTGTTTAATATTGACGGAAACAAATCGAAAGAAAAAATATGACATGTCAAACCTCATTCTTTATTGATTTACAAATGCCTCCCTTTGACAAGTGTGTCATGAATATGACAATTGAAAATTCAGCTTTTTTTTCATTTAAATCCTTCGACATGCAGGTGTAGTGCTTTTCGGGGGAAAAAAGATTTGCATTCACCAAAAAAAAAATGGTTTTTGAATTATAATTCTAAGCTACAATTGTTAAGTGAATGAGTAGTTTCTTTTCTTAAAGTGTTTTTGAAAACTTTTTGTGGTCGAGATATCGCCATACGAATAATCATATTCTCAAAAAAATAATTAATAGCTCTGTAGTATATCTAAAATATAAGAACATATAGTTAAGGTCAAGATCTAGTAAATAACTTGAGACTAATTTTTTGGTGCTAGATCCATTATGACGTCATAATCAATTTCAACTTTTTTTCCGTACTTTACGGCTTTAGCAGAATTATGTAGAAAATAGGGTATTTTCATGTCATTCAATTTGAAATCATATGAAAAGTTAACCGGATACCTATATTGAATTTAATATTGATTGAAAGAAGAGGCCATGAACATGCTAATTACCGTTTTCTGAGAGACTGTAGGCAATCTGGATATATTTCCTTTGCCGAATACGAAAAAAAACTCCCATATTCATGACTAGTTTTCTTAATTTTTCATTAAAACACAGTATTTCATCTTGTTTACCTATAAATTATGCCCCGAAACACCTTATTTGACCAAGCTAAAGTTGTAAAGCATCAATAAAGGAATTTATTTCTCAAGTTTGATAAATCTATAGGCACCTTTCATTTATTAGATCTTGACCTTAAAAAGACAGTTCTGGAAAAAGTGTAATGG